CCTCTCCTCCCCCTCCCTCTGTACAGCGCTTCGTAACGCAATAGACAGCTCCACCAAAGGCGCCCGTGGCGGCGGCCGCATGCGCCCCCCCCCCCGCGCAGCGATTCGTGGCCTCACACAGGGGCTTCCGCCGAATGCCGCCGTGGCCGCGGCCGCATGCGCCCCGCCCCATTCAGTGCAACGTTTTGTAGCCCCATCGGGGCTTCCGCCGAAAACCACCGGGGCCGCGGCCGCATGCGACTCCCCCACCCATTACCTCACGCCCCTCCCGCGTTTCGTGGCCCCACAGGGAGCTCCACTGACAGCGGTACCCACAACGTGGCTCACAACGGCATAACTCTGGGTGATTCGCCAGAAACAAACTTTGTGGGTCGCTTTTGGCTTTCAGGGTCCCTCATCGTGCCCTGGGACTGTCCCGACCGATTCGCGAGGACACGCCGGTCCTGAAAAACGACTCCAGAGGCCATCGTTGTAATTGCCCAGGCTAAAGACCCAACCATGTGCAGTCGTGGCTGCCAAGTTGTGGGTGCCTCCTTCGGTGGAACCCCCCTTATGAGGCCAAGAAGCGCTTAACAGGATGTGTCATAATGGGTAGGGGAGTCGCATGCGGCCGCTGCCACTGAGGTCCTCGGTGGGGCTCCCGATGGGGCCACGAAGTGCTGTGCTGAGCTGGGGGGGGGGCGCGTGCGACCGTGGCGACTGGTTTTCGGTGGAGGTCGCTATAGGGCCACAAAACGCCACTCACTGGGACGGACGCATGCCTACGTCGTGTCTGGGGTCTTCGGTGGAGCTCCCTATGGGGCCACGAAGCGCTGTACTAGGTGGCGCCGGCGCATGCCAACGTCGCCTGTGGAGCATATGGTGGGGTTCCCTGTGCGCTAGTGTATGCAATACGGCGTGCGGTATCTTATGGTGACCAAGGGCGGAGCGTCAGCTAAGCACGTAGCGCCTTTTAGTCAGGAGTTTGCCTGGAGAGATGCAGTACGTGGGTCTTCCCTGCTCATCTCTTTCCTCCCGCGTTCGCCACCGCCGCTGCCGCCGTTGCTCCTGCTTCCCCCGTCCATCCCCCACTTTGTGCACGCGTGAAAAAAGTAAGACCTATCGTTTGTCATTTATGCCTTGCTGTTCTGGCACTGGCTCGCCGGCGGCTACCGCTTAGCGATCACTCCCTCCCCCTCCTCCTCCTCCTCCTCCTCCTCCTCCTCCTCCGCTCCTTCAATTGTGCTCGCGAAGGTCTCTGTGCGCAGGCCATTCGTCCTGGCCGATTCACGCACGCGCGACTAGTTTTTTGTTGTTCCTCTCCCCCTCTGCCTTTGCCTTTCTCCACTTTAGGGCGCCATCCTGTTCTCCTGACGCAGCGTCGTCTGGGGGCATTCCGATCAGAGGACCAACGCCTGGTAGTTTTTTCACTCGACTCGGCGTGCAGGCTGCGCCAGATGATCATCTGGCTTCACCGGCGCAGCGTCGTTCGGGTGCTATGTCGCTCGGTGTTTGCCGGATACCCTTCAAATTTTGTGGTGACCTTTGCTTGTTGGCGATGCGTTGCAGCGGGAATAAGATTGGGCCACGAAGGGCTGTACTAGAATGGCGGCATGGACGCATGCCGACGTCGCCTCTGGGACCGACGGCTGGGTCCCACTGGTGCCACGAAGCGCTGTACTGGGTGGCGCGGGTGCATGCCACTGTTTGCCGCCTCTGGGCCCTTCGCTGGGGCTCTGTATAGGGCCACGAAGCGCTGTGCTTGGTGCCGCGGACGCATGCCAACTTTGCCCCTGGCGCTTTCGGTGGAGCCCCTTCTTTCGCCACGAACTTTGTCCGTAGTGGCGTACCGAAGTGGTTGGCATGCGAAGGGCAGGGACATGGATGGAGGGATAGATGAATTGGAGGAAAAGAAGGAACGCGGGGAACTGTCATTTCAAAACGGAAGCGCAAAACCACAGGATGGTTGGGAGTAAGTTCGATGAGGAATCTGTATGAAATAATAAGGTTGATATGAAAGAAAAGGAGGGGGCAGGAGGAAGAGAAGGGGGTGAGCAGAAGGGGGCAGGGAAAGGAAAAGGGGGGAGGACAAGGGGGAAGTAGGAGAGGAGGCGGAGGCGGAGGAGACGAGGAGCAGGAGGAGGAGGAGGAGGAGGAGGAGGAGGCGGAGGAGGAGGAAGAAGAGGAGGAGGAGGAGGAGGAGGAGGGAGGAGACGGAGGGAGGGGGAGGGGGAGGGGGAGGGGGAGGAGGAGGGGGAGGAGGAGGAGGAGGAGGAGGAGGAGGAGGAGGAGGAGGAGGAGGAGGGAGGAGGAGGAGGAGGAGAGGAGGAGGAGGAGGAGGAGGAGGAGGAGGAGGAGGAGGAGGAGGAGGAGGAGGAGGAGGAGAGGAGGAGGAGGAGGAGGGGAGGAGGCGGAGGGGAGGGGGAGGGGAAATGGGAGGGGAGGAGGAGGAGGGGGCGGAGGTGGTGGTAGTGGTGGTGGTGGTGGAGGAGGAGGAGGAGGAGGAGGAACACGAGGAGGAGGAGGAGGAGGAGGAGGAGGAGGAGGAGGAGGAGGAGGAGGAGGAGGAGGAGGAGGAGAGAGAGGAAGAGGAGGAGGAGGAGGAGGAGGAGGAGGAGGAGGAGGAGGAGGAGGAGGAGGAGGAGGAGGAGGAGGAGGAGGAGGAGGAGGAGGAGGAGGAGGAACAGCCCCCGGAGGGGTGCCTCGGTGTCTGGCGGTGCACCGGGGGCTCGGGGGAACTGCATTCCGCCCCTTCCCCTGGATGAGCAGGTCTCCTGACGAGCAGCCCAGTTTTCCTGGCCGGGGTTCCCTCGCCTGGGAGACTTGTCCGGGGGACCGGCTCTGCCGTGCCTCTCTTCTTGCCCTCCCTGGTTGCGCAGGTCTCCTGTTGGCCCCCTTCAGCCTCCCCGGGTGGAGCCCCCCCTCTGGGAGTCGTGACCGGGGAGCGTTCTCCACCCACCTCCAAGGTGTGAGCGGGCCCGCGCGGTGGCGGCCCGCAGTGTTGTCTGGGGCGCTTCAGGCATTGACTGGCGTTCCCACAGAACGAAGCGAAGCGAGGAGGAGGAGGAGCAGCAGGAGGAGGAGGAGGAAGAGGAGGTGGAGTGTGACGCTACGGCCAATGCTCGCCTAAATCGGGTTGGCCAAATTGTTTTGGCGAGGGATCCGGCTATGTGCAATTGTGAGTGCCGCGCCGTGGGTACCGTTTCCGATGGAGTTCCACATGGGGCCACGAAGCGTGTGAGGTGTTTGTCGTCATGGGTGGGGAGGGCGCACGCGGCCGCGGCCACTGGGTTTTCGGTATATCTCCCTATGGGGGTGGCGCGGCCGCATGCGTCCCACCCCATTCGGTACAACGTTTTGTGGCTCCGTAGGGGGCCCCGCCGAAGACCGCAGGGGCCGCGGCCGCATGCGTTTCCCCCACTCATTACCTCACGCCCCTCCCGCGTTTCGTGGCCCCACAGGGAGCTCCACTGACAGCGGTACCCACAACTTGGCTCACGACGGCACATGGTTGGGTGATTCGCCAGAGACTTACTTTGTTGGTCGCTTTCGGCTTTCATGGTCCCTTTATCGTGCCTTGGAACTGTCCTGACCGATTCGCGAGGACACGCCAGTCCAGAAAAACGTCTCCAGAGGTACACTTTGCAAGCATCCAGGCGAAAGTCCCAACTATATGCAATTGTGGGTAATTGCCGCGTTTTGGGTGCCGCCTTCGGTGGAGCTCCCTACGGGGCCAAGAAGCGCTCAACAGGATGCGTCGTAATTAATGGGTAGGGGAGTCGCATGCGGCCGCGGCCAGTGAGGTCTTCGGTGAGGCCCCCGATGGGGCCACGAAGCGCTGTACTGTGTTGGGGGGGCGCATGCGGCTGCGGCGACTGGTCTTCGGTGGACGGCCACGAAACAGTGGACAGGGTGGGGGAGACGCATGTGGCCGCGGCCAGTGGGACTTTCGGTGGAGCTCTTTATGGGGCCACGAAGCGCTGTACTGGGAGGCGCGGGCGCATGCTGCCGCGACCTCTGGGGCCTTCAGTGAAGCTCCCTATCGGGCCACGAAGCGCTGTACTGGGTGGCGCGGACGCATGCGGTCGCGGCAGCTGGTGCCTTCAGTGAATCTCCCTATGAGGCCACGAAGCGCTGTACTGGGGGGGGGGGGCGCATGCGGCCGCGGCCACTGGGGCATTCGGTGGAGCCCCCTATGTGGCCACGAAGCGCTGTATTGGGTGGCGCGGAAGCGTGCGAACGCGTCTATTGGGGCTTTGGTGGAGCTCTCACGGGGGCCACGAAACGCTAAAGTAGGCGGCGCGGACGTATGGAGCTCCCAATGGGGCCACGAAGCGCAATATTTTGTTGTGCGGACGCGTGCGAAAGCGGCCTCTGGGGCCTTCGTTGGAACTTCCCAGGGAAGCACGAAACGCTGTACTGGGTTGTGCGGGCGCGTTCGACCGCGGCCAGTGGCCTTCGGTGGAACTCCCTATGGCGCCACGAAGCGTTGTACTGTTGTACTGTGTGGCGCGGAGGCATGCGAACGCGGCCAGTGGCCTTCGGTGGAGCCCCCTATGTCGCCACGAAGCGTTGTATGGTGTGGCGCGGATGCATGCGAACGCGGCCTCTGTGGCCTGCGGTGGAGCTCCCCATGTGGTCACGGAACACGTGAGGGGTGTGCCAGTGTGGTTGACATGCGGAGGGCAGAGGCAGGAATGCGAAGAGAGATGAGGGCAGCAAGAAGGAAGGGTGGAAGGTGAGAGTCGAGGGGCTTAGTTGTGCTTCCAAAAACGAGGACCCAGCATCACAGGATGGTTGGGGGGAAAGAGAAAAATTGGCCAGGGGTGAGGCGAGGTAGGGTTCAATGGCGAGGGATGAGGGGGTGGAAGGATGAGGATCAGGATGGGGCGGAGGAGGAGGTGGAGGAGGAGGCGGAGGAGGCAGGATGAGGGTGGAGGACGAGAAGGACGGATGAGGGATGACGAGGGAGGATGGGGGTTCGGGGTGATGATGGAGAGGCAGGGCGTCCCGCACCGCAGGAGTGGGGCTGGCGGTGTCGACTCCGACGGGACTTAGCCACCTCGGGCGCCGCCGGATCTGCACGCGCCGATGCGGCCCTCGTGCGCAAACGCTTCTCAGGTCGGCGGTGCGCCCAGGGGGAAAGGCAGAGGGGGGGGTTCTTCTTGGAAGGCTCAGAAGGCCTCTGGCCGGCTCAGAAGCTTTCTAAGCCGTCTCCGAAGCCACAGACGGTTTCTCAGCAGGCCGGGTGGCTCTCGAGAGTCCCCGCCGCCTTCTCAGAAGGCCTGCCCATCCTCACCCCCAGCGTGCCGCCGATTAGGGGCAGGGCGGGATGCAGGGTCCATTTCGATCCGATCTATCCGATTCGATGTCGTGGGCGGCCCGATACGATTCGATTCGGGTATTCTCGCGATCCGATGCAGCCCATGGCTTGCGCGGCGCTGTTGTGCATCCTGGCGTGGGCCGATTCGTTTGGACTCCGCCTCGGTGCCGACGCAGCCCGATTGGATGCATGTTCCGATCCGAGCCTTCGCGCGGCCCTCGTGCGTCAACGATTCTTAGGGTCGTCGAAGAACGAAAGGGGCAATCAGAAAGACTCGGGGTTCGGCGCAGGTTTATTGGGTTGGCGCTGGGTCCCCCTGGCGGCCACTTCGGCGCCATCCCTGAAGCACTCCACACGCCAGAGGTGGATGTGTGTCCAGCGCCGGCACAAGCAGTCCGTGCGGACCTTCGACAGTGATTTGTTTTGTTGTCTTAGGGGTTGGGAGGCAGCTCCGGTGAGGGAGAGTTGTCGGCGCGAACAAGTGCGTGGCGCGCAATGGACGCAGAGACCGCTGGATGTTCGTGATGATTCAGTGCTCCCCACACCTCCGAGGGGGTGGGCTGGAAGAAGGATGGGGATTCAGCTACCCTTCTTGCACGTGTCGCAACAATTCTCTGCGCACTCTCTGTCCAGCGAGACTCGGCAATGACCGATGAGGCAGGGTGGTGGTGCGGAGAGTACCAGGGAAAACTTACAGCGTAAGCGTAAATAGTATCCTCCCCCACCTGCGCGTCCGCCTCCTCCCTTCTCCGTCCTCCCTCCCCCCCCGTCCTCCCTTCTCCGTCTTCCCCTTCCTCCTCTCCGTCCCCCTCACTCCTCCTGCCCCTCCTTTCTTTCACCCTTCCCCCTCCTCCTAGTTGTCCTCTTCCTTCCTTCTCGTTCCTGCTCCTGCCGCTACCGCTCGCGACATGCTGGTCTGTGTCGAGGTTTCTCCTCCTCTTCCTGCTCCCCATTCCTCTTCTGCTAGTGCCCCTCGTGACGCATTCCGATTCCTGCTAGTACTCCTCTCTCCCCTGCACCTCTTCCCCCCTCCCCCCTTCCTCCTTCCTCGGCCTTCTCGTGCAAGTCTCCGAGCCTTTACGCTGTAGGCTTTCCCCTCTAGGGCACGGGCTGCCTGAGCTCGGCGGGTCGCTTAAAGAGTTGGACCCGCAGAGCCACGGCTCAGCGCTCAGGACAAAGCGCAGCGAGCCTCGCCCCCATCCGTCTCTTGCCTCATCCTTGCCCCCCCCATTGTGCTGGCCCTTACCCCTCAGTCCTCCCTCCTCCTCAGTTGGTTCAAACAGTGCGGATACTACTCCCCGCTCTACCTAGATGCTGTCTTTATGTGCTTTATTTTCGCCCGCCTATCTTGTATACCCAGCTGCCTGTGCAACGTTTGCTACCGTGCCAGCCCAGCAGTCTGGGTGGCGACTACTCGAGGGGATACAGGCGGCCGTAGCGCGTGGCACATCTTACACTCAGGCCTGGGAGAGCTGGAACGTGCGACGCTCTTATCCGCGTCTTGCCGTCATTTGTACTACTGTGTTCGGTGTCGGCCTCACCCATTCACAAATTCGATTCATTACGCGTTCCTTCTGCGCCATTTCCTCGTTTTTCTTGCTCCCCCTGTGCGGCAACGGTTTGAGGAAGAGGTTATTGGGATGTCCCATGCGGTTTTACGGGGGCTGCGGAGGTTCTGCAGACTGGCAGGCGGCTCCTGGGGTGCTTCACACCGGGTTCCGAGCACAGTGTATGACTACCACCACCAAGATCGAGAATAATCTACGTTGCGATTTGGTGCAGTTTTGCTCTTGTGAACTGCCCGAAGTTCCCCTCCCGCCGCCACCGACAACCGGGCTGCCCCCCCCCTCTCTCTCAAGGACCGAAACAGAATTCATCAAAGCACGCGCGGTGGTGGTGTTCTTATACACCACCACCAAGAAGTGCTGTTTATGCTTCAGGGACTCCCCATGCCACGGCGCCTGCGAGCTGCGCCGCGATATTTTGTTCGCAGTGGCGTCGCAGCGTCGTCTGGCATGACCCTGCCCCTAACCTTTTTTGCGGTAAATTACTGTTGCGGGCGGTGGTGGTGTATAAAAATTGGCCTCGCAGATGTGTGGCGTTGGATGGAGGCAGAGACTCTGTTCCTCCCTCTGCCCTCGCCTCCCTCTCGATTCCTCCCACAGGAGTCAAGAGCGAGGGGCGGGCGAGGAACGGAGAGCGGAAGAGGTGGAGGGAGATGAGTCATCCCGAGTCAGCGAGGGCTGGGACAGGTCGGGAGGGTGGGGTGGGTTGGGGAGCGGGGAACGAGGACGGGGAAATGGGTAATGAGCAGGAGTACTAGTGTAATGGGGAGGAGCATCAGGAGGATCATGAGGGGGAGGATGGACTGAGAGATGGGAGAAGACGAGGGGGAAGGGAAGAGTGGATGCGCGCGCGCGCTGTCGCGTGATTACCCAAGTGAGGGGGCCAGGCGGTCGTACAGAGTCCCTGGGAGCGCGGTTGAAGTGCTGTTCGGCGCTGCGGATTCGTGTTCCCCCGCCCCACGACCCAGCCGCCCTGCGACCCAGCCGCCCTGCGACCCAGCCGCGGCCCGCAGGCGCCCCGCCCTGCGGCCCCCCGCGACTTTGGCGTAATTCGCCCCCCGCGACCCACACGTGACCTGCCCCGCGACCCACTCGCGTTGCACCCGCGACCCGCCGCGCGATTCGCCCGCCGACCCGCCGACGACCCATCCGCGAAAGCATCGGCGGTTACCGCGGGCTCGTTGTGTAAGAGATTCGATGTCTGCGATGGGCTTGTTGACGTGTGTGTACCTAAGCCTCCCAAACAGCTGACGACCCGCCCCCTCACTCTAATCCGCGAGCAGCTGAGAGAGCTATGGTATCCCCCAACCGCTGCAGGAACAGCCGAATGGCGACGGCGCGATCCTGATCTTCCTGCCAGGCTGCGGCGGTCAACGCGGCCTTCCAAGTCCTGTCCACCACACCGTCCATCAGCCTGCTATCCCTCCTCCTGTCCTTCCTCCTGTCCTTCGGCCTTTCCCTTCTCTTCCCCCAGTTTCCTTCCTTGCCTCCCGCGAGGAAGACCCAGGAGGTCCCCAGAGGCCTCCTCGGACGGAGGCGCGAATGGGCCAAATGGGTGCCCAAGGCTCGATTCCCGATGCTCGAGGAGCATTGTGGAGGGCTTGAGGAGTATCTCTGATGAGGAAAAGGTGCCCGTACCCCCTGCTGTGCCTCGTTTCCCCCTTTCCCGGCCTCCCGGGAGGCCCTCGTCGCCACCGCTGGATTCTCCTCGAAATCCTGGTCAGAACGCACCTGCGGGAGAGGTCCGGGGAGCAGCGGGGTATATCCGTACCTTGTGGTTTCGCCAGCAGTGTCGTGGCAAGCGCCAAGCTCCTGCCTCGCCCCGCTGCGCCCCTCCACCGTGTGTTTTTGCTTGCTGCTCGCCCGCTTTCCCGTCCGCGTTGGCTGGCTGCGCTGTCTTCGTACCTTTCATTTTGGGGCGGACGATCAAGAGAGGAAAAAACACCCCGACTCCCACAATCGGCGTTTAATCAGACGGCCCGGCGCGTTTACTAAGCAGCCCTGCCCTGTTCGATTCCTTCCTTGGGTGCGTTTACTAAACGCCTTTGCTTGTCTAGGTGTTTATCCGTAAGGGCTTCGCCCCCTGCCGCCGCCCCCCTCTCTCGGAGAATGGGCCATGGAAGAGCTAAGTCATGAGGCCTTGGCGCTGTCGTGAAGCAGTATCGAAACTTCATGCGAAGCCGATTCGCAATCAGCAAAACCAACTGATCACAAGAGGGGTTACCACACCTGGCGATTGGTAAGACGTGTATGGTTTACGGGCTTGGTTACCACACCTTGCGATTAAAGGGCCGAGGGAGTTCTCGCAGTTTGGGTTACCACGCCTTGCGATGGATGTGCGTGAAGGGTGGCACCGAATTTCAGAAATGTGGATGTGTTTTTGGACCCTGACCCCGCGGATCTGCGTGAGGGGTGGCACCGAATTTCAGAAATGTGGCAAATCCCTGTGTTTTTGGACCCTGACCCCGCGGATCTGCGTGAGGGGTGGCACCGAATTTCAGAAATGTGGCAAATCCCATGTGTTTTTGGACCCTGACCCCGCGGATCTGCGTGAGGGGTGGCACCGAATTTCAGAAATGTGGCAAATCCCATGTGTTTTTGGACCCTGACCCCGCGGATCTGCGTGAGGGGTGGCACCGAATTTCAGAAATGTGGCAAATCCCTTGTGTTTTTGGACCCTGACCCCGCGGATCTGCGTGAGGGGTGGCACCGAATTTCAGAAATGTGGCAAATCCCTTGTGTTTTTGGACCCTGACCCCGCGGATCTGCGTGAGGGGTGGCACCGAATTTCAGAAATGTGGCAAATCCTCTGTGTTTTTGGACCCTGACCCCGCGGATCTGCGTGAGGGGTGGCACCGAATTTCAGAAATGTGGCAAATCCCCTGTGTTTTTGGACCCTGACCCCGCGGATCTGCGTGAGGGGTGGCACCGAATTTCAGAAATGTGGCAAATCCTTTGTGTTTTTGGACCCTGACCCCGCCGATCTGTGTGAGGGGTGTCGATTTCGAGCCCCCCCAGCAATTCAGACAACGCGCCCAGGAGGTGCTAAATATCTGGTTTGGGCCTCCCCCCCCCTCGCGCGGTCAATCAACTAGTTACAGTAACCAGCAAGAAGCAGAACTGTAACACTGGAAACTACAAGCTACAACTGGTACAGGAAACTGCAAACCCGCGCCTACAGCCTGGTGGCCCCACAAGGGGGCCGGCGGATTATGGTTGTGGTTTTGCTGCTCTAGACGCGGGAGTGGGTAAAGTATATTGGGAGGAGTAGGGGGTACGAGAACTGCTGCATGCAGCCCGTTTCCGCCCCGCCACCGGGCAGCTTCTTGGACAAATGGCCGCCTCCAGGCGAGCGTATCCATATCCATGCCCTCACGTTCTGGATTCTGGGCGCGACGCGTTGGATATGCGGTCGCATCGGTACACTCCGCGTCGGGCATCCGCAAGCCGCCGCCGCGTTCATGGGGTCGCGGCCAGGGAGGCCGACCCGCGAGGCCGTGGATGTGGACACGTTTCCGCTCTCATCCTTCTTCGGCCTCCTCCTTCTCTTTCTCCCGCCGCGCGGGAGCGAAGCGCCGCTCCAGGCTGGGGCGACATCACGAAGTGCTACATCCGCTTGTGCCCCCCTCCCAGGCGGAGGATGAGAGGAAGAACGGTAGGATGATGGATGATGATTGGGGGGGGACAGGAGGAGGGACGTGGAGGGTGGGGGAGAGGTGAGGGGGAAGGTCACCTTCATTGCTATCCTCCTCCCCTCGCTTTCCCCTGCTTCCCGCGAACGCCTCCGTCTCTTGGACATGGTGGCTCTCGGGTCGTTCGTAGCGATTCGTTCCAGCATTAGCTAGCCGCAGACAGAGTTCAAGCGACTGCTCCCACCTGCGCTGTGATCGCAAAGCGCTGAAGCATACGAAGGGCCGAGGTGGAGCAGGAGGTGGAGGGGGACGGGGGGGAGGACGATTAGGAGGAGGAGGAGGAGGAGGAGGACCTGTGTAAACCCAAGAGTCATCGACGATGTTGGAATCAACCCTCCCTCCAAGCTCCCTCTTCATAGGCTCCTGCAACGGTTCATCTCCCCTGAGGGAACTGCGTCGTCGGAAGACAATAGTTGGGAGATCCTGAATCATGTTCTCGGGGTTCCAACGCCACGGATCAACCTGACTGTTGCGTCTTGACGAGCCTGAATTGTGCCAGAACGCCAATCCTGGGACTTCAACTCCGCGAATCAACTTAACTGTTGCACCCGCAAAATTCTGAGTCTTTCCAAAACTCCATGTCTGCTACGTTGATCATGGCAACCCGTTGAACTCTTGTTGTAAAACTTATAAGCGAAAGTGCGCGGCGTTGAAGCGAGAGCCACATTTTGAAAAGGAACCGCCCTCAATCCGTGAAGCTCTTGCAAATTTGTGAAACCAAAGCACGCAGCGCGAAAGCGAGGGCCACATTTTTGCAACCAGTCGCCTTCAATCCGTGAAACCCTTGCGTTTTTGCGAAACGAATGCGCGCGGCGCTAAGGCGCGAGCCACATGTTTAAAATGAGCCGCCCTCAATCTGAGAAGCTCTTGCAACGGTTTTACACGAATGTGCGCGGCGCGAAGGCGAGTGCCACATTTTGAGAACCAGTCGCCCCCAATCCGTAAAACGTCTTGCGAAATTTCAAAGCGAATGTGCGCGGCGGTAAGGCGAGAGCCACATTTTGAAAACCACCCGCCCTCCATCAGGCGAAACGCCAGGCCCGCCCTACGTCCTGGCTTCTAGACGCTTTGCGTATCCCCACCAGGTCTTCGAGCCTGGTGAGGCACCCTGGCGTCCAGGTGACTTGCACGCCGACCAGTCTCGGCTAGAACTTGCGTGTTCCTGGCCTCTGGTCCTCAGACACCGCCGCAGCTTGGCCGTGTTTGCAGCTGCCGCCTGCATGGTGGGACGCGCCCCTACGTGGATTGCTCAAGAGTGGTTCAGCCTTCTTGTTCAGCCATGTGAGGTTGTCACCGTTGGCATGCAGCACTGGTACGCTGGACTGCTTGCTTAGCTCCGCGCGTTGCCACGCTCGGTGGCACGACTACCTCTGGCGCCTGGCGCGACAGGGTGCAAGTTGTTCGTCTTCCCGGTGGTCTCGCCCCTGGGATGGCTGCATTTCGGCCGCTTGGCCCTCCTGGCAGCTCCTGCAGCCTGCCTCAGCCCCCCGCGCCGCTCAGCGTCCTTCGGCGGCAGCTTTAGCAGCCTTGCGTGCGCTCGCTGGTTAATTGGGGTCCGCCCGTAGCCCCGGTCGACCCTTGACGCCGCTTGCGCTTTCGCTTGCGGCTGCGACAAAAAGTATCCCCACCAGCCCATCCTGAAACGATGTCCAGGCGAGTTGAGGTGATCAGGGAAGTGCGGGAGCAAAGAGGGGACTGACGAACCGTGCGAAGGAGGGAGTAGGAGAAGGAAGAGGCTGGGCATGGATGCATATGGGAGTGGGGAAAAGGAGCATGAATATGATGAGGAGGAGGAGAAGGAGGAAGAGGAGGATGAGGAAGAGGAGGAGGAGGAGGAGGAGGAGGAGGAGGAGGAAGAGAAGGAGTAGGAGGAGGAAGGGGGAGCAGGAGGAGGAGGGCAAGCCAATTGGCCAGAGGTCTCTTGGATGCCTTTCGGAACTTCTTGGGATATCTCTTAGGCGCTTCTTGGTGGCCTGTTGGAACGTATTGAGGGTCTCTTGGCGGTCCGGGGGGGCTCTTGGGCGTTTTGGGTGTCTCGGGGGGGGGCCTCTTGCTTCCGCTTGGGGGCCTCCTGGGGGCTTCGTGGGGGCCTATTGGGGGCCTTTTTGGTGCCATTTTGGGGCCATCTTGGGGCCTCTTGGGGCCTCCTGGGCGCTTTTTGTTGGATGACATCGATCAAAGGAGGGTCCTTTAATTAGCCTCGCCCCTCGGGAGCCCCCCACGTCGCCTTTGTGAGTGCTCTTGTTGGGGCGCATTTGGAGCGCTCTTGGGCGCTCGTGGGGCCGTCGTGGAGCTCCCTTGGGCCCCTCTTGGGGCTCTCTTGGGCCATCTTGGAGCTATCTTAAGGCCTCGAATGGCCCTTGGAAGCGACAAAGCGAGAAAGCAACAAGCATTGCTTTTACAAAGGTTTTGGTGAAGGATTTGGGCCTCTTGGGGGCATCCTTGGGGAGCTCTTTTGGTATTTTAGGGCTGTCTTGGATCAGTCTTGGGGCGTCTTGGAGCATTTTGGGAGCCATCTCGACTTGGAGTTCATCTTGGGCTCTCTGACGCCATCTTGGGGCTATCTTGGACGCCCTGACCGCTCGCGGGGCGCCCCTTCCAGGTCCAGGGGAAGGGGTAGGGTGACGGGTCAAGACTCCCTCCCCGCCTGCAAGACGTGTCGCTGACTCTCACCCGCCCTCCCAACACATACGTAACACCCGAGTCTGGCCCGAGCCTCGGCATATTCAGCAGTCGTCTTTGGATGGGCAACTACTGCGGGCCAATCCGCCGCCGCCGCCTCTGCCTCTGCCTCCGCCGCCGCAGCCGCCGCCGCCGCCGCCGACGCTGCCCGCCGCCGCCGTCGCCGCCGCCGCCGCCGTCGCCGCCGCCGTCGCAGCCGCCGGCGCCGCCCGCCCGCCGCCGCCGCCGTCGCCGTCGCCGTCGCCGCCCCCGCTGCCAAATCGCCGCCGCCGCAGCCGCTGCCGCCGCAGCCGCTGCCGCCACCGCCGCCGCCGCCGCCACCGCCGCCGCCGCCGCCGCAGCCGCCGCCGCCGCCGCCGCCGCCGCCGCCCCCGCCGCAATCACCGAAGCCGCCGCTTCCGCAGCCGCAGCCGCCCCCGCCGCCGCCGCCGCCGCCGCAGCCGCCGCCGCCGCCGCAACCGCCGCAGCCGCCGCCGCCGCCAATTGCATTATGTATTGTTTTTTGACAGGGATGGTGGGGGGAGGCTGCATCGGGTTGGCCGCGCATCCTCCGAATTTGGAGTCGCATTGTGTTTTGGATGTTTTTTTGCAAGGGATTGTGGGGGGGTGCCCTCATGGTTTTAGGTTGGCTACCAGTCGCCTGGGGGAGGGGGTGTTTACGAATAGGGAACAGTGATAAACGCCTCCCCGAAAGGGAAGAAGGGAGGTGGAAGAGGAAACGCTCTAGACCACCAGCGCCCAGAGGGCTTTTGGGGCTTATAAGGAACAGGGAATGGATAATGATGATGATGATGCTGCTGATGATGATGATGATGATGATGATGATGATGATGATAGTGGTGATGGTGATGATGATGATGCTGATGATGATGATGATGATGATGATGATGATGATGATGATGATGATGATGATGATGATGATGATGATGATGATGATGAGGAGGAGGAGGAGGAGGAGGAGGAGGAGGAGGAGGTGCCCCGGCCTTCTGAGAAGTTGATGGGTCTTATGGGAAGGCTTGATTAACTTGTCAGAAGGCTGGGGGACTTCCGAACCTTCTGAAAAGGCCCGCCCCTTCTCACTTTCCCTCCGGGCTCGCCGCCGATTCTGGTTTTTCCAGAGAAGCGGAGGAGGACGCGCGCGCGCGACCTCCTTCAGACCACCTGCGGAGTGCACTGCGCCCTGCGGGCACCGCGCCGCGGCCAGCCCTTCGCGCGGCGGGCGCGCTGGCCCGAGGCGGTGCCGATGGCCGCGGTGCCCGCCGCGGAGTGCCAGTTTGAGGCCCCTCCGCGGCTGACCCCGCTGTGGGCCCTGAAGGGCATATACTTCGTAGATGCTCGTTTTGGGGGACCTTTCTTGGCGCCTTCCTATCGGCTCTGTTAGATTCTAGCTCGTTTCCGGTTCGATCGATGCAGGTTCGATTCAAGCCGGCGGACGTTCGACGCAGCATCGACGTTTGAGTGGAGCGAATGTCCCCAGAACGAACATCTAATACTTTTTCGGGCTCGGGTCCAATTCGAGTCTCTTCCGCTTCATACCCGTATTCTACCAGAGGATCGGGCTCGACAATGGCCGCATCTCGGGGGGGGGGGCGCGAGTGGGAGGGTCGGGCAGGCTTAGGATGAAGGTAGATCTTTGCAGAGCGTTCTGGCTCTCTCTCGGGGCGTTCCAGAGCGCTTTGAGATGGCCGCGGCCCCCGGCAGATCTTCCAGACCCGCCAGCTCCAACAGATGCACGATGTACCTCGATCAGGATTTGTCTTCATCCTGCCCTCGTCTCAGGGAAAGCGAGGTTCCACGAGGGCTGCCACGCGAAGCTGGTCTCGGCAAAGCCGCCGAGCATTTTCCTCGATGCACGGTCGCTCCCAGTGCCCGTAGGCGCCTGGAGGGCAGGCTATGTGCAGCTGGTCCGCTGACCCACCTTTGCTAACCTTTCCTCTCGCCTTCCCCCCGAGCGTCGGGTTCATGCAGCTCTGCGTCCCCTGGATCACCTTCCTGTCCTCCCTGGGCTGGGCGGCGCTCTGCGACAGGCTCGGCGAGTACAAGCGCGTGCTGGTGGTCTCGAACTCGGTGGGCGCCGCGGCAATCTGCTGCCTGCTGCTCGGCCCCGTGCACACCCACTTCGCGGGGGTGTGCGCCTGCATGTTCGCCGGCTCCGCCTTCCTCGCCTCGCGCACCGGTGTTCTTGGGCCCATCTTCCACTACCACCACCATGGACCGTGATCGGCTGACTTTTCGTGGTGCTTCGCTGGGCGCTGCAGTCGCCCCGCACAGCCAAGTGTTGCCACGGGTGTCAGTCGTCCCTCTTCCATGGTCGTGGTAGTGAAAAGTAGGCCCACCATCGGCGACTACAAAGGGTCTGGTTACGTTTGGGTGTGTTTTGCGATCGGCACCGTTGGGGCCTGGGGAGCACGACGCTGCCCTCGTCGGGCCTCCTCGGGGCGCAGCTGAGAGCTCTGTCGATGTCCTCGCCCGCCCGCCAGGGTGCCCTCCAGGGTGCCAGTTGCAAACCGCACCGTTTGCAGACCAAACCCTTCTCGGGGGTTGGTAAAGGTGCCCCTGGCCCAAGCTGCCCCCAGCTTTTCGCCCCACTTTGAAGCCCCTGGGTCCCCTGGGCCTCGTAAGGGGTGCTCTGGAATCCGTGGGGGCTTCCTTGGAGATCCTGGTGACACCTTGGGCCAGGGGCACTTCTAGAAGCACCCGACCTTGGGAGTCGCCGACGCCAGGTGTCGTGGACGCCCTGACGCTGCGTGTGGTGCGGGACTTCGGACGGGGCTAGAACGGGGATGCATCCGTTCCAGAGCGTTCCGGATCGCTCTCAGAGCGTTCCGGGTCGCTCTGGAAAGGCCTCGGCGGCCGATCCATCCTCCAGATCCGCCGAAGATGGGAGATATTCTCGATTTATCCTCACCCAAATTCTCGCCCTGGCTCCGTCTCAGGACTACGAGGAGGCCAGGGCCCAGGGCAGGTCAGAGGCGGCCGGCGGGGAGCTGCCGAGCTACGGCCCGCAGCGGCTCTGGGGCGCCGCGGGCTACGGCATCTTCGGCCTCCTGTCGGGCGTGGGCGCCGATGCCTTCGGCGACGGCGCCATGTTCGTGCTCTTTGGCGCGTGCCTGGCCACGACGGTTCTCCGCAACAGAACAGATCAGATGAGGAGAGGTACCATACCGCTATCCCTCTCTCGTTTTCCCCCTTTGGGCCTCCTGGGAGGCCCTCGTCGCCACCGCTGGATTTGCCTCGAAATTCTGGTCAGAACGCGCTCCGGGAGAGGTCCGGGGAGTAGCAGTATTGGTACGTTGTGGTTTCCCCACTATATGTATATATACATATATACAGACACCCTCCAATTGATTGGTCCTGCGCTTCAGGGGAGGGCGGCGGTGCATAAATCACCACTGCGTGCCAGCGACTTGATACACCGCCCCCCCTCCCTGAAGGCTGGAGGTACATGCGAAGCTCGTCCGAGGGTGTCTGAGCATATATTTCCGTGGCGGAGGTTCTGATCGTCGCCTCGCAGCTGCCGTCCCGTGGCGCAGTCAAGCCCGCGGGGGCACGGGCGGCTGGCTCTCAGTCTCCCGGCGGGGGCCCCCGATCCCGTTTCAGGATGGCCATGGAAGAGCGGCCCGAGCAGCCGGAAAAGAAGCGAGAGGGGGCACAGGCAGCGAGCAGCCAAGAATCAGTTCAAAGGTGCACTCTGCTACATGGTGGGTCCCTGCGGCTGCTTTTGTGCTGCCCCGCCGGCGTTTCGGCTGCTAGCGCCACTCTTCGACGAGGATGGCGTGGTTCTTTGCGAACCTGGTGGTCTACGGCATGCACACCTCTCTTATCGAGAGCTTCCTCTTTGTGTACGCTTCGCGCGACTTCCCCGGGGCGAGCAGGGGGCTCTTGGGCGCCTCGGTGGCCATCATGTGCGTCTCGGAGCTCCCCGTCTTCTTCTACGACAGGCGGTTTCTTGATCGCTTCTGCGTCACGAGCCTGCTGACGTCCTGCGAGCTCGTGCTGGCGATGGAGCTGCTGGCGTACAGCGCGGTGCCCAGGGGCGCTCCTTGGCTGATCCTGCTGATCGCCCCCCTCCACGGCGTCACGATGGCCGCGGCGTGGTCATGCAGCGTGGAGTTCGGGCGCCAGCTCGCGCCCCCGGGCGCCGAGGCCCGGGTGCAGGCGCTGGTGTCGGGGGTCTACTACCGGGTGGCGCAGGGCCTCGGCGCGTGCGCCTGGGGAGTGCTCACGCGGCCGCCGCCGGCGGGGTGCGGGTTCTCTGCGATGTACGCGGCGGCCGGCGGCACGATCCTGCTCTGGGCCGTGGTCTGGAACGCCGGCTGGGCCCTGCATGCCCTCGCTGTGCGAGGGGTCTCTGGGCGGACCGCCCCGGGCCCGCTCGGGGACGCGCTCCTGCGGGGCTGACCCTGAGCGCGGGCGCGGCTCACCCGGGGGTGGTTGTGGCGTCTCTGCCCTGGGAGTTTCGGTGCGGCCGGTCGACAGCGTGGAGGTGGAGGCCCAGCGGCGCTGTGAGCGAAGAGCACCTGCCGCGCATACGGGCACCGTCGGCAGCCATCCGTCGGCGTCCCGTGCGCCATCTGCTAGCAGAGGTTGAACTACAGCGTTTCGAGCGATTGGGTGAAGCATCAGCTTGTGCGCGCTACAGACAGGCTGGAGAAGATCCGGTGTTCTGTGTGCGGCATGCCCGCGGATTGTGTGCTACAATCTGAGAGCCTTCTACAGACGAGTAACTTGTATCTCCTGGTCATCGGCATCAGCATCGCTGCGGTCGCCAGAGCGATCGCTGCTCAGGTGCAGGCGTGGTGCGATGGTGATGCGTGAATGGTGCTCCGCTGTGGCAGCGGATCCGTGGGCTTCATTGTTTAATAATCCTACCTCACAGGCCACCCTTTGCTGATACGAATGTTCAGTGGTGGTGTTGAGGAATTTTCATGTTGAGTTGTTGTTCCGACTTGCAACTCGATTCGCATTTCGTTTGCAATCGGGCTTGCAGTTTGATTGGTTTTAAATCTGCATTTTGACTTTCACTTTGATAATACAATAGCCTTCGGCCCATCCCGTCACCGTTCCTTGGTTGTGGGTACAAGCCTATGGGATGTTCGTTGGGATCTCGTGGTGCGCCTCTCGTAGGCCTCTTGGAGGCAGGTTGGAGGCCTCTTCAGGGCCGTTTTGGAGCCTCTTTTGGACTTCCTGGGGGGCCTCGTGGGGCATCTTGGGGGCCTCTTGTGGGCCTCTTGGCGCCTCTTGGGCGCCTCTTGGGGCCTCTTGGGTCCACCTCCTCCTCAACCCCCCTTTCGCACTGGCAGGGGCCTGGCGGTGGCCAGCGCCGCCTGGCGGCGCCCAGTGGCAGGCCCAGCGCCGCCGGCGGTGGCCGGCGGCGGGCGGGCGGCGACACGGGCGCGCGCGACTCGCGCGCGGGCGCGGGCGCGGGCGCGGCGTCGTCGTCGTCGTCGCCCCCGCCGCCGCCGGCCGCCGATGCCCAATGGGGCTGGGTCGCGGGTCCAACGATGCCTCCTGGATGTTCGTTTGGGGGTCTCTTGGGGGGTTTGTCGTGAGGCCCTTGAAAATTGTTTTGAGGCCTCCTGTGGGGCCGTTTTGGAGCCTCTTAGAGCCTTTTTTGGTGTTCTCGGGAGCCTCGCGGGGCCTCCCGGGTGATTCTTGGGGCCTCCTGGGGGATTCTTAAGGCGGAAGGTCCCCGGGGCCCGCGGGGTGGATCCGTTGGAAGCGCGTCGCCGGCGCGGCGCGGTCCGGGTGGCATCGCAATCTTTTGCGTTTTACGCGTGTACCTATAGAATGGTCCTCTCCTGGGGCTTCCTGGGGCCTCCCGGGGCTTCCTGGGGCTTCCTGGAGCTTCCGGCGACTTCTTGGTGCTTCCCTGGGTTTCCTGGAGCTCCCCGGGGCCTCCCGGGGCTTCGCGGGGCTTCCTGGTGCTTTGGTGCCTTCCGGGGCTGTCGTCTCGGCCCTTCCTGCTGCCTCCTGGGGCTGTTTTGGCCCTCTCCTGGGGCGCGAATCCTGTGCGTTAAACGTATGTGCCAATAGATTGTCCTTCTCTTGGGGCACGAGTCCTTTGTGTTTCACGTATGCGCCTAAATATTGGCTTTCTCTTGGGGCGCGAATGTTTCGCGTTTTACGTGCGGGCTTATATCTTGGCCGTATCATGGAGCGCGAATCCTCAGCGTTTTACGTATGCGCCTAGAGATTTGAGTTCTTTCGGGGCGCGATGTCCTTTGCGTTTTACACATGTGCCTATAGATTGGCCCTCTCCTGGGGCACGGGTCCCTTGTTTTTCGCGCGCGTGCTTATGGATTGGCCCTTGGTGGGGCGCGAATCTTTCACGTTTTGCGCGTTTGCCCATAAGTTGGCCCTCCCCGGGGGCGCGAGCCCTGCGCGTTTTACGCGTGCGCCTGTGGGTTCGCCCTCTCGCGGGGCAAGATTCCTTCGTTCTTTGCGCGCGTGCCTCCGATTGGCCTTGTCCTTGGGCGCGAATTTTTCGTGTCTCACGCGCGTGCATATATATATATATATATATATGTATATATATATATATATATATATGTATTGGCCTCTCCCTGGGGCGCGAATCCTTTTGTTTGGCGCGTGTGCCAATAGATTGGCCGTCTCTTGGGGCGCGAATCCTTCTTGTGTTTCACGCGTGCCTATAGATTGACCCTTCCCTGGGGAGCGAATCTTTCGCGCTTCGCGCGCGGGCGTGGCCGTGTCATGGGGGGCGAAACCTTGGCGTGATTGGCCCTCTTTTGGGGCGATTTCCCTTTCCTGGGGCGCGAATCTTCCGCGCTGCGCGCATTTGCTCATAGATTTGCCCCCCCCTGAGGCGCGAACCCTGCGAGATGTGCGCGTGCGCTTATGGATTTGCCTTCTCCGCGGGGGCGAGTATTTTGTGTTTCACGTATGGTTTGGATGTAGTCGCATGCCCTCGCATCGGTCTCGAACGTGCGCGCGACGCTTGCGCGCGGCTCGCGCGCGCGCTCGCGCGCGGGCAAGTTAAAGCTGCATGTTAGGTACAAGGGCAGGCGGCCCGGCGGATGCCAGGTGCGGGGGGTCACGCCCCCGGGCTATAATGCCGGCGCGGGGGGGAGAGCTGTTTCCCCCGCTCTATGCTTCCGTCGCGCCCCCGTCGCGCTCCGTCGCGCCCCCGTCGCGACCGATCGCGACCAGGCTGTCTCCAATGCGGCGTGGCAGACAATATCCAGCTACTGCGAAAACATGTTTTACGCAAGTAGTCAGCTAGCCGCGCAGGGCCCATTGCGTATGCGCCTCAGGCAGGGGGGCCGCCTGCGATGCGTTGAAGTTCCTATGCCCCCAGCGCCGCAGTCGCGCGCAGCCAGCCTAGCTGCGCGCCCTGGAGGATGAGGCCGAGGCGAAATAGAGGCATCAGGCCGACTAGAGGCGTCGCGAGCTTCACCGGGCGCTAGGGGAATAGAGGATTCAGGCCGAATAGAGGCTTCACGAGCTTCACTGGGTGTCAGGAGAATAAAGGCATCAGGCCGAATAGAGGCTTCGCGAGCTTCAAAACAGAGGCTTCACGCGCTTCCATGAGCGCCAGGGGAATGGAGGCTTAGAGGCTCTACGAGCATCAGTGGGCGTCAGGGGGATAGAGGCTTTCAGGCCGAATGGAGGCTTCGCGAGCTTCAATGGGCGTCAGCGAATGGAGACCTCAGGCCGAATAGGTGTCAGGAGCTTCAATTGGCGCTAGGGGAATGGAGGCTTCGGGCCGAATAGAGGCTTCACGCGCTTGCATGGGCGTCAAGGGAATAGAGGCTTCAGGCCGTATAGAGGCTTCGCGAGCTGTCAATGGGCGTCAGGGGAATGGAGGCTTCAGGCCGAATAGAGACTTCACGCGCTTGCATGGGCGAATAGAGGCTTCAGGCCGAACGGAGGCGTCTAGGGTCGCCGCCCCACCAGTGCGTCGCAATTCGCAGGCCGAAAGGAGGCCTCGCGGGCCGACTGCAGGCTTCAGGCCGAATAGAGGCTTCAGGCAGAATAGAGGCTTCGCGAGCTTCAATGGGCGTCAGCGGAATAGAGGCTTCAGGCCGAATAGAGGCGTCACGAGCTTCACCCGGCGTCAGCGGCATAGAGGCGCTACCGCAGCTCCTTGGGCGAATGGAGTCTTTAAGTGGCGTCTTCGGCGCCGGCTCGAACGGGGGGGCCCTGAGCCGGGCCCCTGTTTATGTGCGCGCGCATTGGTAGTTGCGTATGCGTCCGTTGATGCGATGAGCTGGTGTGTGTATATATATATATATATGTATACACGCGCATGTATTGGTGCATGCGCACGAGCTGTATGCGTTCAGATGTGCAGACTATTTCGGTCGACGGTTCGGTCGCGTTCGTCTTGCCGGGGCACTGTGCGTGCGCGCGCGCGAGCGCGCGGTGACGTCCAGTTCTCGCGCTCGGTGGTCTTTGGTGCCTGATCTTGGCCCGGCGCCGCCGCGCGCGCCTGCCGCGCTCGGCGCGCGCTCGGTTTTCCAGTCCGGATCGCGCGTCTGGCTTCCGCGTGCAATGCGGCCGATTCCGCGGGGCCGCCGCGGGCGCGGCGGCCTCCGCAACCGAAGCGTTGCGGCCTTGCCCTTCGCGGACTTCGCGTTGTCCCGCAGACTGGGCCATGGCCGCCGCGCACGCGGCGGCCTTGCCCCTCGCTTATGGTCTGCGTTCCCCACGCATGGTGGAGCAAGGCCGCCGCGCGCGCGGAGGCGTTCCTCGGCGCCAGCATGGAGTGGTCCCTGAGCGCGTTTTAATCCAGTCCACGTCGCATGGCGCTTCAGGTGAGGCGCGTTCGCGAGCCAGAAAGGGCGCGCAGGGGGTGGTCCCTGAGCGCAGTCTCCATCCATGCCAACATCGCAGATCGTGGCCGGCGTGGCCTGGCGCCAAGAGGGGGCGCGCAGGATTCCGCCCTGGCGCGCGGAACGCCAGGGTGATCGCGGGGGCGCCCCGCGCGGTCCGGTTTGCCCCGCTTGTTTTTTGCATTCTATATGCGCACTTCGGCGCTGGGAATAACTGTTTTAAAACTGCCCCCAATTCTTTATACATTTTTATCTTGGCGAAGGACCCGACCGCGTGCAGCTGTGAGTTCCGGAATTGTGAATACTTTCTTCGGTGGCGCCCCCTACGAGGCCACGAAGTGCTGCACGGGGGGGGGGGGCGCACGCGGGCTGTAGCACAGGGGCCGTCGGTGGAGCTCCGTATGGGGCCACAAAACGCTGTGCTGGGCGGGGGGTGGGGGACGCTTGCGGGCGCCCCCAGTGGGACATCCTTCGGTGGAGCTCCTTATGGGGTCACGAAGCGCTGTGCTGGGGGGGGGGGGGCGGCGCATGCGGCCACCCCCCCGCTGGGGATTTCGGTGGAGCTCCCTATGGGGCCACGAAGCGCAGTGTTGCGTGGGGTGGGGGGGTGGGGGGGGGGCGCATGCGGGCACCCCCACTGGGGCCTGCAGCTGAGCTCCCTATGGGGCCACAAAGCGCAGTACTGGGTGAAGGGGGGGCGCATGCGGGCACCCCCACCGGGGCCGTCGGTGGAGCTCCCTGTGGGGCAACGAAACGTTGTGCTGGGTGGGGAGAGCGCACGCGGGCCCCCCCACTGAGGCTTTAGGTGGATCCCCATATGGGGCCACGACACGCTGTGCTGGGTGTGGGGGGGCACATGCGGGCACCCGCCACTGGGGCCCTCGGTGGAGCTCCGTATGGGGCCACAAAACGCTGTAATGGGTGGGGGGGGGGGCGCATGCGAGCACCCCCACAGGGGCCCTCGGTGGGGCTCACTATGGGGCCACGGCACGCTGCATTGGGTGTGGGGGACGCATGCGGGCACTCCCACTAGGACTTCCAGTGGAGCCCCCATGGGGCCACGAAGCGCTGTGTTGGGTGGGGGACGCATGCGGGCACCCCCACTGGGACCTTCGGTGGAGTTCCCTACGGGGCCACGAAGCGTGTGAGGGGCGTGCCACAGTGAGAGGGGGTGACGAGAAGGAGGAGGAGGAGGAGGAAGAGGAGGAGGAGGAGGAGGAGGAGGAGGAGGAGGAGGAGGAGGAGG